AGAACAGTGACAGAGTTTTCGTGTGATGGCTAGTTGAGGTCCTACGTAAAGAGTAAATGAGCAACAGAGAACAATTATTTGAATCGTATTATTTCAGTTGTAATAGTGTTTATTAAATCTGTGAGCCGAAGAGAAGACACGTGTAATCACTGAGCGTAGGTCGGTAACTGTGGGCCTCCGCTCTCAACACAAGTTTAGAGGCTGTCATTATAGTGCGTGGTACCGTGGGATTTGAACTTTACAATTCGTATTATAGGGTGACCATTTTTACCTGATATCAGTAACAAATTATGAATTTATTTATTAGACAAATCGGATGATTGATTGATTGATTGATTCAACGATTCAAAAATGGGTTTGTAGTAGTCAGTATCGACTGTCAACAAAATCTTTGTATGTAGGACATATTAATCTCTGATTTGTATGTTTATTTGTACTGACCTCAAATTTTTATCCGATTATTCACTCAGAAACCATTCATCAAATACATCAAAGATAAAGTTATTAAATTTGATCCAGATTTATGAGTAGATCTGAAGGTGTGTTTTAAAGCGCCCTCCATTATACACGTGTCCAATCCCAGAAGCTTCGTAACTTGGACGTTCGGTCATAACAAATTTTTATTTTAAATGTACGTAAGTTTATTGCGGTGTTTTTAGACGCATCTTCTACCACAAGACGCAGGGAATTAAGAGAGTAATAATAAAGTTTATATTTGTCACTCCCCGAAGCAATTAGCCCTGCAAGCTTCAACCGAAAAGAATTTCTGAAGAGATCGCAGTGGATTGCTAGTTTAAAGTTTAATCTAGAGACAAACATTAAGAAATACTAGTCAGCTTAATGAAGACAGTAAATTATGAAATACGGGAGACACATCTTCTTAACTATGTCGGTTAATTAACGTACTGCATTTACGACTAACATTTTGCTAGGTTTATTCGGCTAACAAATGCGTTATTCAGGAAAGAATTGGTAAACAGCGAATGTATTCTCTTTTGTTAGGTTAGCTACGTATAAACTATTAATGAAAGAAAGAAGCTTTGTTCAAATTTATAATGCTTTCAAATAACCTACCGTATTTTAAATTTACTCAGTGTAAAAATGTTCTGAGGAAGAAAATTAGTTTCTTATTTTAATACCGTGAGCTCATTTAAACATTAAAAATTGCAAATCACTCCTTGCATTTCTATTACTTTACGCTGCTTTGCAGCATATTTCAGTGGGATGGTTTTGAGTTGTCTTTCTTTTTAATTAAATATCTTCAAGAACTTAACGGCACATGAATTTCAGCATTCGAAACATCTGTGCAATAGTTTTGTAGAAAAGCGAAAAACTAAAAGTGATTTTACACGTTTTTGAAATCTTTTCATTTATCCTTGTTTTAATTTTACACAGATTCCCACCTATTATTGCAAAGCTTACAGAATTACATTGCACAAACAGAATCATAAATGTGTATAGTATATCGTTTAAAGCAGCATAAATGTTGTAAATCTTCATTAAATCTATGTTTCATGTCACGTTCCAACTATTTGTACAGTAGTCGGTCCGAATCTGTGCTTTCGACGCCCGTTAGAACTAAAACGCAAGGCAATTAGAGGGTTGGAAGGAGGGGTATCATATAATAGAGCGGTGCCCGAATTTATAACTTGTGTTGGGCAAGGCCGTGGTCTAGGCAACACGGAGTTTTCCTCCGGGGGCTTCCCCGGTGTCTCCGTGGCATCCCAACAATTACTCCATTCACACACAGAAGAAGGCAATGGCAAACCACTTCTGGATCATCTGCCAAGAACGTATATGAACAGGTCCCAGTCCAAGAAAAGGATGGAAGGATCCTGTTCATATGGACCTGTCGTCAGACAGAACACTAAATAAATAAATAAAATACTGTCCACAATATAAGGATTATTTCAAAGCGACAGCACAATATTTGGCCCCTTGAAGATGATCCAGAAGTTCTATTTATGTGATTTTCATTGGGCGTAGGGGTTGTATTGGGCCGATTAGGATCAATATTAAACTTTGCTCGTAAACTTTCGGCAGGAGATTAATCGTAATCTGTTGAGAATTTTTAAAATATTAAAAACGATGATGATATACACGATCTCTCAATTATGCATACATTTGCGAACGCTATGCAAAGAATTAATAAAAGCAAACTTAAAAATCAACTTTATGTAAGTTTCCGTAGCTCGTAGAATTAGTTTCGTAGTCGCTGTTGAAAGTAACGCTTTCCTGCTTCCATCTTTTAATTAAAAATGTTCAAACATGGGATGTGTGGAAGATTTGGACAGCATCCAAATGCAGTGCGCCGTTATCTCACGCGGTTCCACATGACTGACACTGGGTCGGTTACGAACCGTCGGCACTGCGTTTTCTGTATCTGATTGCATGAGGCAAACTGGCGAAACTGTGTCACTGCCGGAAAACTGGGGCACATAGAAGTACACTTTTTGTTCTGCGTTTTCCGAAGATGGCTGTCTCCTGGGCTGTAGCGCCGTATAGTCTGGTAGAAGTTTGACGGCGTTTCAGAGGTCCTTTCTGCCTCCATCATCAGGGTTGATGATGGAGGCAGCAAGGACCTCTGAAACGTCGGCAAACTTCTACCAGACTACACGGCGCTACAGCCCAGGAGACAGACATTTTAATATTCACATCAAACCCTACTCCGTGTTTTCTAAACAAAATCTGATGTTTTTACAGACACGTTTCAGAATAAGCATGCCATCATCAGTGATACAACGGAATTAATTTCGACATTTCAAACAGAATTACTAACATTCGATTTTACAATATTAGTACCAGTACATATGACCACAAAAATAGTTTTCGTGTTATTTCCTGTGTAGCTTAAAACCAATATGGTTTGGATTAAAAAAGTGTGTAAAATGTATAACATAATTTTAACTAAATAGGCATATTGAACACAAAATTCGTCAGAATCCGTACTTAACTAATGTCACGTCGTGTATAATAATGGCGATTGTTATAGAAGGAGTTTAAATGACTATATTAAGCAGTTGGACTGATGTTATTCTAACACATTTTAGTCTACAAGGTTTTATGATGCTGCAACCCGGAAGACAGGCATGTTACCGTTATTTAACTAATTTTACTTCAATATTCATCAAATCTACCGACGCTGTACAAGCCGTGAAATAAGATATTTTTAACTGCAGTGTTGACAGTAACAATTTTTTTCTCTGATATAGAGTAATAAAAAAACCCGATACCAAAAGCATGTTTGTAGGAACTAACGACTTGTAAATAATATATACACTAAAATAGTATTAAAATATATTAAAATTGTCCGTCAATCACAATAAAGTAATATAAGATAATTAAATGGTTAAAATATTATCCTTTGTTCCGTATCGATTACTCGATTTACATATGGAACATTCTCGACATGTTTCGGCTTTCATAGAGCCGTCATCAGGTGTATGTTATAAACTCTTAATTCAATTACTAATTTTTGAGTTTCGTATCATTTCTTCA